TGAACAACCGGCCCTTAAGCTAAATGGAACAGAACAATCTCCTAGCAATCTCCTTTGTATATAGTGCAACTGCTGTTCTTCCTCCTGGGACAAAAGTGCACCGGCCACTGAATTCTTTGTATTCTACTTAATTAAGGAAAAGTATTTTCAAATAATTATTAAACTATTTTTTTTTTAATTGCACTTGTGTTTAATTGTACCATGAACGAAAGACACAAGATCACGCGGGAAGGAAAGAACGAAAAAAGTTATTTTCTAGCTGCCGAAATCTCGACGCCATCTTTGTTGTAAGAAGTAAACAACGAAGAGAACGGAGAAAACCGCGAAATTGTTGAACGCATGAATAATCATTTTTATTATGCAAATTCTTCTATAAATCATGCCGTTGTGTTAAATTATTCTTTACCTTATTTGTTCACACGTTGCCGCAGGCGAAAATGAAGAAAATTGCTGTAAAAAGCCACCATGGTACAATAAAAACAGGTAGAAGCCAAATTGACATCAAACCTACAAAAGTCAAAGTTTTCGGGAGAGTAAAAATAAAAATGAGCGTGTGTAAGGAAAAATAAAAAATTACATTTCGCTGGTTGACGTTTTTGAGTAAATTTGAAGTTTTGTTTCTATTTATTTATTTTTCTTTAGTTAAAATTTGTTAATTTGTATTTTGTTTTATGTTTTTAATTTATGAGTTGCAGTGTTGTTGGAGGGACTTTCCGGCATAAGGGTCATAGGAACAGCACTTGGCATCAAACGTGCCTTTCCTGTACCTCCCGGTGCATTTATGAAATCTGCTGCTTTAAAATGTTTAACGCACAGCAAGGCATTTCGCTGCAGCTCTGGCCCACAGCTGCTTTCGCAACGCTCTTTACGCGAAGGACATTGAGGCACGTTAAATGGTATCTGCTTCATATTTAACACCACATAAAAAACAACGCTTCGGTATTGCATTTTTAACACATACATTAAGTATAAACTGCACAACACTACAAAAATTCAAATGTTAATTAAAATTTGTTATTAACGAACATTCAAAAAAAAAAAACAACGATATGACATTCAAAGCGTAACGAAATATAGGAAATAAATGAAAAACAAGTTGAAGTTTAAAGGTTTGGTTCTCATGAGAGCAACGTCATTTTGGCTTCTACCAGTATTTATGTGCCTTGAAAAGCCACCACCAAATTGTAAACAATGAAGAAATGTAAACAAATGGCTATTGTCAAAATCGTTAAACTTTTTTCCTAAATGCGATTCTAACGGGCTACTCTTCTACCCGCATGATCTTGTATTTTTGGTTCATGTAATTGTACTACAATTTTTTTTTATTGGTTTTTGTCAAAGCAGCTGATTAAGAACTTCGAATTCAACGGTTTTAGCTGGCAGTGCCGCTGATAGTTCCGATCGGATTACAGCATACCACGATTGAGAGAATATTCTATCATTCTTGACCAGTGTTGCCGCGAAACATTTTTAGTGGTAGCTAAATTACAGCTAAAATAGGGCTAAAAAAGAGCTAAAAATCGTCGTTGTGGCTAAAAATGGTAGCTAAATTTTTTTACCTACATCTTATATATAAAAATAAGTGCACGTTTTTGGTGTGACCTCATAACTTGAAAACAGCTTGACCGAATTCAATCAAATTTATGTGGCATATTCAATTTATCATGCAGATGGTTTATGCGAAGTTTTCCCGAATTCGGAAGAGGGGGCGTGGCACCACCCATACTAACTAGAATATAAAAATAAGTGAACGTTTTTGGTGTGACAATATAACTTAAGAACGGCTTCACCGAATTCAACCAAATTTATGCGGCATATTCGGGCCATCATGCAGATATTTTATGTGGAGTTTTCCCAAATTTGGAAAAGGGGCGTGGCATATGTATGTATCTTATTTATACAAATAAGTACACGTTTTTGGTGTGAGCTTATAACTTGAGAACAGCTTCACCGAATTCAACCAAATTTATACGGCATATTCAGGCTATCATGCAGATGGTTTATGTGAAGTTTGCCCGAATTCGTAAAAATGGGTGTGGCACCTTCCATACTAACTAAAATTTTTTTGTTGTATATCTCTTGAAATATTTGTGGTAGAGTACTGGAAGTTGGTATAGAGGTATAACAAATAATTCCATACTCATGGATAAAAATGGGCAGTATTGGAAAAGAGGGCGTGGCACCTCACATCTTATATATAAAAAATAAGTGCAAGATTTCAACCAAATTTATACGGCATAGTCGGGCTATTATGCAGATGGTTTGTGTTAAGTTTCCCCGAATTCGGAAAAGGGGGCGTGGCACCACCCATACTAACAAAAAATTTCATCTGGTATATCTCTTGAAATATTTGTGGTAGATTACTGGAATTGGTAGCTATACGTGGCCTGTTCAAGAGTTGGCATTCCAAATTGTTTATTTATTCATACCCAAGATGGAAAAACAAAAAATTTTGTATATCCAAATCTGTTGGATTAACTTTTAAAATAAAGAATCAAAAATTTTGAAATAAAACAAATGATAAATTTTCATATAGAAAAATTCCAGGACTTTTCATTCGTTTTTCAATATTTGGTGTAGAAAAGCACACCGGGGTACTGCTAGTGTAAATATGTAAGTATACACGCAAACATTTTCTATAATTACTGGTATAGAAAAACAATGAACTCTGAAAAGAATTACTATTTTATTCAACAAAAAAACTTTTTGTGTAACACAGAAAGCATATTAAGGGCCACCAACTTACCTATTTTAAAGTATAGTTAAATCGTTAACGGATAAGATAACGGCCCAGAAACGTAAGGAACATACATAGAAATATGTTTACTTGCCTTAAAGGAAAGGCGTTCGCTTTATGAGCGAAGAGTTAAATTCATGAAAATCATAAAAAAAATTTGAATGTCAATGATGAATAAATTTTGAAAAGGGCTAAAAAAAGGGCTAGGGGCAATTTCAAATTTTTGTGGCCAAAAAAAGAATTTGGTAGCCAAATTTAGCCACCAAAGGGCTAAAACGGCAACACTGTTCTTGACAGCATACCAATTTTCGAGTTTTCTGAACGGAGCGACGAATTCGTAGCTACGAACATTCGGATTACAGCATAGGGGCCTTTCTATATTACGGTAACGATGTATAACTGTACAGAGTTTGCAGGGATCTAAGTGCCTTCAACCATATACATAACTAATATTTTCTAAATTTGGTCGTCTCAAAATTATAAGCTTTTCTATTTTTATTTTCACTTACTTTACAATATCCTCGTCTGTGAAGCTAATACTATCCACCGCCAGACGTTTCAGCTGTCTACAGCTGCATATAAGCATCTTCAATGAGGCATTCGACATGGGGCTGCTGAGCATTTCTGAGCCTTCCAAACATTCAAAACGGTTGATGTCCTTTGTGTATGAGAGCCCATCCATCATGTAACAGTCTAAGTCAATCAACATCGGACAAATGCGCGCTAATTTACTTATTTCCAAGTGGCCAACACCCTTAATCATGGTCAGATGGCTAAGATTCCGACCGATATTATCGAGCACCTCCATTACTTCAGCGCAGGAAAATTTGTAGATTTTCAACTTTCGCAAAAATCTATTACTGAGTACTGGAAGCGCACCAGGTTTGGGTGTGTCCAAATAGAGTGATTCCAAGTGTGGGCAAGTTTTTACAATCACACTAAGCGTCTCCTCGTCGGTGCCAGTATCGTGTAAGTAGCGTAGCTTGCACTGAAATTCCTCGTCAATGTTGTCATATACGAATTTCAGCGAGGCGCCTACGAATGAATATGTGGAGAGTGTCTCCACATTGGGACAATGTTCCAATATAAGGGCAATATCTGAGTAGCAAATGTTCTCCTCGCCAGGCATACCAATATCCACGACCGTTAGCTTTTCATTGCACATCCCGTGGCTGAGAAACTCCACACCGATTTCGGTTATGTCTGTCTCACCGGATATGTCCAACACTTGCAGTTGCCGACAGTTCTTGCCAATTACCTCGAGAAGATCATCGTTGGCGATGTAAGGTACAAATAACTTGGTCAGGTGTTTACATTTGCGCACGATTTCAAAAAGGTAGTGCATATGCTCCTCCTTCACCCAAACTCCTTTCAAATTGAGCACACGCAGACCAGTACCTTGTGCGGCAATGACTTGCAGAATTTTTTCATAATACGAAAAGGGAAAGACTTCAGTTACCAAGAATGCGACGCTGCCGTTGAGCAGCATTTGCATGCAAGTGAAGCGCATATTAGCGTCCAAGTAATCAGAGCTGAGTATGACACGCAGCAGGTCTTGGTATATGTTCCAGGTAGCGCCGGTCTGCTCGAGATATTGATTGATGTCCACCATCACGATATTAATGTCGAGTACAACGTCAGGTGCATACTTGGCATAACCGATCGTCGAGACAATCTGGTTGGCTAACTCGGCTAAAGCGCTATCGCTCAATGAGCGAACGCTACATTTTTTAGACATGCCTGAGAATTAGCCAAGTGTCCAAGGATTTGTTAACTATATCAATTGATTGATGACATAAATTCGTAGTGGATTTATTTGTTGTTTGCTGATACGGTCATGCACGTGAATTCCATTTGTTTATAAACAATCCAATGTAAAAATAAACAAGCATATGTTTATGTGGACCCAGAAACGCGAGTGAAAAGTTCGCGACGATCTCAAAACCCTCTCTCCTTAAGAAACTTGCATTCATTTATACGTAACCACATATGTACATATGTATGTGCATATACGATGACCATTTGCCGACTGCCGAAAGCTCCCTGTACAGGCAAAGGTTACGTCACTTATTTGTGTTTATTTTTAACAATATTTTCAAAACTAAAAATACGTATTAGCCACTTTTCATCCAATCACTGTATAATTTTTGATATTCTATACACTATTAAGAGCAATTAACTCCTTTTGTGAAGTGGTATTACGAACAGATTGGGTAGACAACCTAAATAATTATGCAGCTGTGAAAATAGCTATAGTTTTAAATCGCGACCTCGTAGCCACGATAATACATCTTTCCGTGTCCAAATCACAAATGCTACTGTTTTAAATACCGGAAGCTTTCTCACACAACAAACAAAAAAATTTAGTGCGGTATATCAGCGTATTTTGATGGACCTGTACATAAATGCATGCGTACATATCGCTGCATAAATTCTGAAAACTTCTATCCCACATTTTTCATATTTGTATGCATGCGAATTTTTGTATAAGCCATAAAGTCGTTATTTTTAAGCTCTAACTACGTACGTATATTAACACTGATATAAAAGATTAAAGTAGTTTCGTTTCAAAGAAAGGAGATTAGAATTATAGAGCATCTCAGACAGAATCAAACATACTTTTGTTAAACCCTAAAAATATGATTTGCACAAAATTAAAAAATGACAGTTGCACCTATTGCAAGCAAGTAAAACGCTCAATTTAATGCAGCTCAGCTTACATAAAAAGATACTATTTACAATTGTCAATAAAATGCATATTTAGTAGCATTATATATTACATAAAATATTTTTACTTCCTCTTTTAGCAACAAGCTGTAAGTTTCGGTTTAACCCGATTTTTCAGTTAGATCTATGTCCTTGGTTTTTATTGTGGTCTCTGATACTGTTGTGGATTTGGACACACTTTCATCATCCTTTTCCGAACATTGCAACGTTGGCGAAGCCAGTTTGCGCGAACTTATTGAATTCATTGACGATTTCGTAGAAGCAGGGTGTATAAAACCTAAACGTGCTACAGGCAAAGTCGTACCGGGTTTTACAGGTTCAAATCGGAGCAATTTACCAAATAGTGCATGCTGCATTATGGGATATTTAGACAATATCTATAGGAAAATAAAAATATATAGTATGTTTTGGCGGTTATGTTTTAATACACATCTGTACATGGGTACATATCTAACTAAATGCATACCTCCTTCTGGTACATCTTAATCAATCCGCTGTTTATTTTCGACCATGTTGGTACTGCCGAAATACTCCACAACTGATTTGAGTGCTCTGCAAAATGTCCCGTTTTTACTTGGTTGATATAATCGATACAACCAATAAACAAATATTCGTCTTTGTACTCGTTGATAATATCATCGTCTAAGAAGCGCACCGGTTCAAATGGGCTATTGACTGCAAAAAATTTGATATTCAATTATTTACCTCTTCATATTGCTTTGAAACAACTTACATGCTAATTGAGCGCTGCCCCAAATGAATGGCACAAATTGAAAATCATCCAGTGACCAAACACCTTGACTGCCAGCTGGTTCTAAGTGGTATTCCTTTTGTAGGCGGCGCACAAAAATTAAATAGGTATTGAACAAACGTAATACGCAAGCTACGCTGTCTTCTTCCGTCAATAATTCAGCCTTGAATAGTGCACAGAGAAAGAATATAAACGACAATTCATGCCCTGTACCGTAATCAATCCGCACGGAATTGCCGAATGATTCGCTTAGATAGGATCCCAGTTCAGTGAATAGATCACACTTTTCCTGTGGCAGTGCTTCCTTCAAGTATAAAAATATATCCTGAAACGAAAATGTTAAAATTATTTTTATCCAAAATACAGCAATGACTGTAAAACTTACGCGATGCATTTTACTGGCCCACACACGAAAGCCCTTGTTTCCAAAACGTGTAGGCTGATCAACTGGAGGCGACTCATCAACTAGCTTATTGAGTTTGTCAAAAACAGCAACTAAATTTTTCATTATGGGCGATACATAAATGCTGGGATCATTAATACGTTTTCCTTGAATTGCGCAACTAACAGCGTTTATAAAGCCCATCAGATCATAGTAAGCTTCCGAACGTTGCCATTTAGCTATATCCTGAGGCACCTTTACGTGCTTTGAAGGCTCATGGCCGCTAAAAGCCTCAACTGTATAAAAAAGGCAAAACAGCAATTGGCCAAATTACAAAACAATTATATATAAACTACGAACATGGAATATCCGATTTTCGAAGTTCCTCCATTGTGTTATGGCTGAAAATTTAAAGTAAGCGAATGTTATCGTCCGGTGTTTGCAAACTTTGATAACTTCACAAAAATATTTGTTTTGTTTTATTCCCTTTTGAAGGTTACAAGGGTTGCATTCCGGCCTAAAGGTGCTGGTGTATTAAATAAATTGTTCTTGAGCTGGAAAATTATCGACGGCACTATCGATCAGTTTTGTAACCACTATCGACAATTTTCACTCATGTATATACATTATAGCCCGAACACAATGAAAACGACGAGCTACAAACCACAGCTGTCAAATTATTTTAACACGTACTCTTATGTAGATAATTATTTTGGCGACGACCGGGCTACGCGACGGCTGTGGTTGTGGCCAGATTAGATCTATTTCTATTTTTCTGGCGACAGATAACGTTCTTCCTCTTCTTTTATGTCAAACTCATACAAATTTATGATGTCGCTGCCGCGTTCAAATAAATCATGTCGCCATCGACAATGCATTTAGATAATGAAGATGACAAATTGGAAGCTGTGGTCCGTAGCTCGTCGTTTTCAATGTGTTCAGAACTTTAGTTGCGTTCCTTATCTCCCAGAAATAGTCAGAAAAAGTCCGAAGTAGTCAGATTTAGTCCAAAAAGCGTTCCTTAACTCGGAAATGACAGCAAAAATGAGAGAGCAACACCCAGTGAGAGTGACTCTCATCAGTCCGAAGTAGTCAGATTTAGTCAGAAGAATTTTTTCTGGCAAAATCCTGAAAAGTGTCAAACTTAACTAAATTTAAATTAACGGAAATTAAAGAATACGCAAAAAGTGAGAATAATCTAAAAAGTAAAAGAAGTGAATTGAAATTGGAAGGAGGCAAAAAATAATTGATATAGTAAGTGTTTATTGTGCTTGTGCTTGTGTGAATTTGTTTTGTACATACATTTCCATTTTTATTTGACGTTAGCTTTGTTGTTGCCATTCTTTGGACTAAAAATTTGGCTTTTTGCGTTCCTTTACTTTTTCTGTTATTCTCTTTTAGTGAGCGCATTTTGCTTACGCTCCGGCATTTTGACACTTTTCAGATTTTAGTCCAAGATCCGGACTAATTTAGTTATTTGTTTAATCAATAAACTGTGTCAGTATCTCTCTTGTGAGCGAACAGATGACATTTCGCCGGAATTTGGCAGTTGGTTGGTTTCTGTTGGAGATTTTAAACGAACGCACCTAATAAATGCTAATGTTACACTTTAAAACTGTATCAAAATATTCAAAAGCTTCAAGCCAGTGGAGTTGAACAAAAAGTAGTTGTGTTTTAAAGTGTAATTTAAAACTGTCGTTAACAATTACAAAGCCACTTTTATGAACCCATATGCAATGTGGGTTCCCTTTGGTTTTAAAATGTGTGGTCATATTTATTGTATATAATTTATGTAATTTTGTTTTTATTTTTTATTTTATTAAAGATTAATTCGCCATACTAAATTTTGAGAGCGAATTACCTCATTTGGTTGGTAATTCAGATCCAAGTACCATGCGAGTTACGAACAAATCGGTGCCGTTTCTTAATTTGTATAGGAAATTTATCGAAACTAGCTCACAACTCAAAACTTGCATTTTTTCTGAGTACGAAAAGTTAATACGGAAACTTATAAATTTTTAGGAAGAACCCATGATTCAATAATACAAGGTTCGATAAACTGACAGTTGTCCCTCTC